TCACCCAAGCCCCCGTCCCAGTTTCATCCCCAAATTTGACACCATCAGATCAGGATTAAACAAAGACTGTGAATGGCTATCCAACTACAGATACAGTTTCTCCTCCCTTGGTGTTCACACCTCAACTGCTAGCAGAGCACCTCACCCTCCCTGATTGAACTAACCTCGTTATCTCCACACTGATATATACCTGCCTCTGGAGATTTCCATTACTTGCATCTGAAGAAGTGAGGTTCTTACCCACGAAAGCTTATGCTCCCAGTACTTCTGTTAGTCTCAAAGGTGCCACAGGACCCTCTGTTTCATTTTAATCAAGTCTCTCTCTTTGAATCTCTCCACTAGTTCCCCATTTGATATTGCATCAATTGTAAGTGTCTTATCACCTTCAAAGTTCTACATAATTCTGCTGCTTCCTACTTACCTAAGCTTGCCTTACTTCACTCCCTACAGCTCCTGTGCTCTGTGAATGCTCCCACACAGAGCACCCATTGGTTAGATTCTCAAAAAAAAAAAAAAAAAAAAAAACCCTCCTCCATGTCATCTTCTATACTGCTCTCTATATGTGGTCTGACCTTCCTGAGCTCATCTGTGAGGCTTCTACCATTTCCACATTTTAGTTCCTCTTGAAGACCTACCCCTGCAGTTCTACCTATGGCCAATATTATATTAATAACAAGAAAAAAGCATATGATGTTTCCCATTTCCTCTCTCCCGTTACCTTGTGCCTGACAGCCCATCCTTAAAACTACGAGTTCCTTGGTAGAAAGACTATTTTTGCTTCTCTGCCTGTAAACACTGAGCATATAGTGAGCACTACCATAGACAAATATCATGATTATAATAGAAGAGAGAAATACCTTAAGTAATCTAGCAACCTCAGGGTTAAAGATTGGAGTTTTAATATACTGAAGAAATAATGTGCATATTCTTTTTCTGAGTCCTTCTAGATTGCATTCTTTCACGCCTCGCATCATAAGATCAGCCTCTCTATCAATTAATTCCACTATTTCATGGGTGAGTTTACACTCGTGTTCCTACAGAAAAACAAAATAAAGTTACAACACAGATACTTGCTGATAAGCCATTAGATTTAGAACAAATTGATATTAAAACAAAACATGCAGTATATATTCTATATGTCATTTATATTCTAAATGTATGCATTAAAAAGAAGCTTAAACCCCTCTGTGTCTTGGGAAGCATGCCATATAGAATATCCAAAGAAAGGACAGTAGAATATAGCTATGTGTGTGTTATATATAACACCAACAATATCAGCATAATGTTTTGTGGTGAAATCCCTGCAGGTTTGACAGAGAATTATACAGTAGAAAAATATTCTCTTCTGATGCTACCGACCTTCCTCTACCACTATCTCAAAAACACAGAAAGGGAGATGGATGGTGACAGATGAATGATGCCACTTAAATTCAACCTTCTTTCCTCCAATAAAACTCCTGATTCTACAGCAATTCCAGTTTTCCCCAGAATGCAGGATTTGATCTGGATCATTATTATTGTGAAACCCACAAAAACCAAAAACTATAAGCTCCTTCTGCAGGTTCAGGCAACAGCAGTTGATTAACCAGCACTATTTCTAGAGCTGTTCTGACTTTGGACCCAATTTTGATTCCATCAGAGCCAAGGGAAAATCCTCACTTTGGCTTCATTAAGATCAGGCTCAGGCTCTTCTATTCTATTTAGGTACAAGTACCATCACCAAGGTTGCTGAGTGCCTTCATGATGTTCAAACAAGGAAATAAAAAAAAATCGTGTTAATTTTTTCTCTCCACTAAAAAGGGGAGAGGAAATCAATGTTTGTGAGACAGAAAAATTGCAATCCAAACCAAGAGACATTTCATAGCCAAGCTTCTGAAAAGGTATTTCAAATACTGCAGCATAAAAAATAAATGAATAAATGACATTAAAAGTATCTCTTCTGATTTTATCCAATAACTGTAATTATTAAACTTCATACTAAAACTGTATTAAAATGTAACACAAATTTAACATCACAGTGGAGGGTTATAACTTTAAAATTACCTTAAGAAATCAATACTTATCATACAAAGTGATAGTGAAACATGAATTTATATTAAATTGACCTTTCGTAATTTAACAAATAGCACTGGTTAGCACACTAGGCTTTCATTCATGCCACCACATCCTCACAACTGTTTGTCAAGAGAATCTTTGCTGATGTGTCAGCACCAATTAAATGACTATGGCTCTAGGTATGGAACATATAACCAAAAGCTAAACTTAAGGGGAAGACCAAAACGTACCTTCACTGTATGTTTGAGTGTTAACAGCACATCCAGCCTCTCATCTTTTGGGAGGTCTTTCATACTAATGCTGCGGTAGATCTCAAGCAGTTCTCTGGCACGTAGTGTAAACTGTGTATCCATTTCAGTTATTTTTCCATCATATGCTTTCCATTTCTTTGGCTCTGCACACTTCAGAAACAATTTGTATCAATCAGTTATTTTAATTTGATCAACAGCCAAAAAAGTACATTGTGTTACAAAAAGTCTTACCTTAATAAACAAGGACTCAGCTTTAACAGTTATCTAATACAGAAGGCTCTTTCTACCATCATTATTTCCACAATATATATTGTACCCTAGAGTAAAGTTTCAATATTATATGACTTGTAAAAAAAAAAAAGCAGGCCATAATAATTCAGACTTACAACATACTAAAAATAAAGGACATTCTCCCACAGAGAAATGCTCTGTTAGTTTAAAATAAACTTACTGAAAGTGGTACTGGAATACACGCTCAAGATCTGATCCTGCAGTCATTAATCAGGCAAAACTGCCACTAAAGTTAATGGGAGAACTGCCTGTAAGGACTGCAGGCTTAAGCCCTTAAAACCTATTGTGCTGTGGAATATTTTCTGGGAGATGTTATTTAAGATGAAATATCACTGGGTTGTAATAATGGCCAGTTTACATATATATTGGGTCCAAGCAATCATAGAATCATAGAATATCAGGGTTGGAAGGGACCTCAGGAGGTCATCTAGTCCAACCCCCTGCTCAAAGCAGGACCAATTCCCAACTAAATCATCCCAGCCAGGGCTTTGTCAAGCCGGGCCTTAAAAACCTCCAAGGAAGGAGATTCCACCACCTCCCTAGGTAACCCATTCCAGTGCTTCACCACCCTCCTAGTGAAAAAGGTTTTCCTAATATCCAACCTAAACCTCCCCCACTGCAACTTGAGACCATTACTCCTTGTTCTGTCATCTGCTACCACTGAGAACAGTCTAGATCCATCCTCTTTGGAACCCCCTTTCAGGTAGTTGAAAGCAGCTATCAAATCCCCCCATATTCTTCTCTTCTGCAGACTAAACAATCCTAGTTCCCTCAGCCTCTCCTCATAAGTCATGTGCTCCAGACCCCTAATCATTTTTGTTGCCCTCCGTTGGACTCTTTTCAATTTTTCCACATCCTTCTTGTAGTGTGGGGCCCAAAACTGAACACAATACTCCAGATGAGGCCTCTCCAATGCCGAATAGAAAAATACGTCCCTCGATCTGCTTGCAACGTCCCTACTTAAATACAGCCCAAAATGCCATTAGCCTTCTTGGCAACAAGGGCACACTGTTGACTCATATCCAGTTTCTCGTCCACTGTAACCCTTAGGTCCTTTTCTGCAGAACTGCTGCCTAGCCACTCGGTCCCTAGTCTGTAGCAGTGCATGGGATTCGTCTGTCCTAAGTGAAGGACTCTGCACTTGTCCTTGTTGAACCTCATCAGATTTCTTTTGGTCCAATCCTCTAATTTGTCTAGGTCCCTCTGTATCCTATCCCTACCCTTCAGCGTATCTACCACTCCTCCAGTTTAGTGTCATCTGCAAACTTGCTGAGGGTGCAGTCCACGCCATCCTCCAGATCATTAATAAAGATATTGAACAAAACCAGTCCCAGGACCAACCTTTGGGGCACTCCACTTGATACTGGCTGCCTACTAGACATGGAGTCATTGATCATTGCCTGTTGAGCCCGACGATCTAACCAGCTTTCTATCAACCTTATAGTCCATTCATCCAGCCCATACTTCTTTAACTTGCCATCAAGAATACTGTGGAAGACTGTATCAAAATACTCTTAACATCTCTTGCTAGCTGCAACTCCAAGTGTGATTTAGTCTTCCTGATTTCACTCCTGCATTCCTGAGCAATATTTTTATACTCCTCCCTGGTCATTTGTCCCCAATCTTCCACTTCTTGTAAGCTTCTTTTTTGTGTTTAAGATCAACAAGGATTTCACTGTTAAGCCAAGCTGGTCGCCTGCCATACTTACTATTCTTTCTACACATCGGGATGGTTTGTTCCTGCAACCTGAATAAGAATTCTTTAAAATACAGCCAGCTCTCCTGGATTCCTTTCCCCGTCATGTTATTCTCCCAGGGGATCCTGTCCATCAGTTCCCTGAGGGAGTCAAACTCTGCTTTTCTGAACTCCAGTCTCCTTTCTTCCTTGTGTCAGGATCCTGAACTCATGGTCACTGCCTCCCAGGTTCCCATCCACTTTTGCTTCCCCTACTAATTCTTTCCTGTTTGTGAGCAGCAGGCCAAGAAGAGCTCTGCCCCTAGTTGGTTCCTCCAGCACTTGCACCAGGAAATTGTTCCATACACTTTCCAAAAACTTCCTGGATTGTCTGTACACCGCTGTATTGCTCTCCCAGCAGATATCGGGGTGATTGAAGTCCCCCATAAGAACCAGAGCCTGTGATCTAGTAACTTCTGTTAGTTCCCGGAAGAAAGCCTCGTCCACCCCATCCCCCTGGTCTGGTGGTCTATAGCAGACTCCCACCACGACATCACCCTTGTTGCTCATACTTCTAAACTTAATCCAGAGACTCTCAGGTTTTTCTGCAGTTTCAAACTGGAGCTCTGAGCAGTCATACTGCTCTCTTACATGCAGTCAATCAGTCAAGCATTTATAATTCTGATAACAGTAATTCTTGGCATTTTTTGTCTTTCCATTCATAAACTTGGGGAAGATCAAGCCCTATAATAGGGGTTGCTATTGCTGGACCTCAAGCTCTCTGTCTCCTAGATCCAAGTGTGTTAGTGCCACTTTCACATTTCAAGAGAATAAGAGTATGGGTATGTCTACACAGCAATGTAAGCCTAGGGTTAGTGGGACTTGAGTCAGCTGACCTGTGTCAAGGAACCTTGGGCTTGAGCACCTACATTGCATTTTAACAGTAGGTTAAGAATTTTCTGACCCATGCTGAAACCTAAGGCTCTGGCATCCACACTGCAATGCACAGACCTGAGTCAAAGTAACTGTATCCCACACTGCCTGGTGCCCTTGCACCTACCAATGTCACTGCTCTAGCCCTAGGAAGGTGGTGCACTGGGGAAAAACTCCGCTGCCCACTGCCTGCCGAGCAATCCTTGTGTTCTGTCTCTGCCAGCTACCAGAGCCAGCCATGTGGAGGAGGTGCCTATTGATGAACTGCTCTTGCTTGTGGCTTTTACTTCTGTGTCAGGAAACTGGCAAAGCATCTGCAAGGTGCTGGTGGACATTTCAGTGGCATTTTCTGTCTCACCAAAGGTACCTGATGGATAAATTCATGACATTTGTGAGGTACTCTGATAGTATGGCAATAGGGGCCATATAACAAATGTGATTAGTGCATATTAGGAAATAAAAGCCTGCAAAGCTTTATTTTAAGAAACAGTTTAATTTTCAAGTTATGTAAGCACAAAAAAGCAGAAATAATTGAAAATAGAACTTTATAATTGCAAATTTGACCGATTCTTAACTATATCATCACTAGGTATGGAACTATAATTAAATGAGGTATTGTGTGGGGCTATAATTAAATGAAGTACTGCTAACTGGAACTCATGGTCTGGAGCCAAAATTGATTAAGAAATCTGAAAGGAAACAAGACAGGCTCTATAATGAAATCCTAAATCTTTGAATTAGAGCTGGTAAACTCCTGCAAAACTGGAAACAAGCAATTTTTACTCTACCATGACAGAAGGTTTATTACTTTGTTTTCTCATGCATGCATGGTACGATAAATCCTTTAAAAACATTAGCCTGTATCATTAGAGTCCAATGCCAAAAAAAGCAGTCAGTTCTCTAATATTACACCAAGGCAGTTGGTATATGCATTCAATTTTTGGCCACCACCACCCCGCCCCCCCAATTACAAACTTGACCTTTGGCTCTCCTAGTTTGAGACTTGTTGTGTCAGGAAGAATTAAAGTGCAAGGTTCACTTTAAGAAATGCTGATTACAGCTAGTTGAAACAAATTTACAAAATACTTAAGAGATCTAGCAGTTTTATACAGTGCAAAAGGTCTCTAAAATCGGGTCACCAAATCTACAACAGCAGGATTAGAAACTATGAAAATCTTGGTATAATCTGTCATTTTGGAATTTCTAATGATATTGTAAAATGGTACTATAAAAATGAAATGATGCACCTCAATGTAACATGCAGCTCCTCACTGAAGAAATATTAATGTCATCAGTATGAAAAGCAAGATTGCCAGTGCTTGAGAATGAATCTCAAGCTCTCTGATTTCAGGCTTATTTTCATGTACTCAAGATTGATGCAGAAATTTCAAACTTCCTGATTTCTTTCCAACTCTCTCCTGCCTTTTAGTTTGCTGGCAGCAATGTGGAATTTGCAATAATCCTGTTATCTGAATTGCTTCAGAGAGCAGGACTACTGTAATTGCACTCTGCTATCAGCACATAAAAGCAAAGCAGAGCATCAGAGGAGAGTAATACAAGAACACAGGCATGAAAAGAGAGAAAAAAAGAAAAGGGGGACAACATAGAATAGGCGCAGAAAAGGTAGTTGAGAAACAGTACAAAGCCTGAAAACTATGAACACCATGAGTAACAGTAAATAACAATACAATAGTCATATAGCTCCTCCCTGAAGCACTCTCATGGGTACATTATGTTTTTTATTGCTGTAAGGTATTACCTTTTTAAAACACATACACATACAACAAATGAGGAAGTCCAATTTAAAAAGAGAAAGAACGGATTTGGAAGGGAAGGTAATAAATAGAGGGCCAAGAGAGGTCATTCTAAAAATACATTAGTCTCTAAGATGCCACAAGGACTCCTCATTGTTTCTATTAAAAGCACTGTAACAATTAAAATTTAGAAGCAGGAAGGGATGAAATGAGAAATATTTCCCAGGGGAACAAGTTTCACACCCAAGACTATTGCAGCAAAAGTGCAGTCACCTGTAGACTTCAAATATGATGGTGTGATCTTTAAATGGCAAATGGGGTGTGACTGCAGTTACATGTCAGTACAAGGTTCAAGTACCAGGCCTATAATGCAGTCAGGCCTAGTCCGTGAGAGGCAGACAAATGTAAAAAAACCCACATAGCAGTATCATATGAACACTGTAGTTAACAGTGCTACTGAATTGGGAATAAGCAAAAATGATGGAGAAGCCCAAGTG